GGAACCGCAACAGTGGGAACTGCATTAGCAGCAGATGAACAAGCAGTGACAGGACGAGCAGCGGAGGCAACTTCCGTAGCAGAAACTGCTGGAGTGAAACCCGGAGTTGAAACAGCAGCAGTAGAAACTGCAGCAGTGGAGACCACAGCGGTGGTATCTATGTCTTGGTTCTCTCTCTTCACTCTGCATGCACACTCTCACCTACGAAGATCTACTTTGAATGTCACTCACTGATGTCCTACTGACTAACCCTCCATTACTAACATGGGCTGGCGCAGCTATGGCTTCCCTGCAGCAAGCGCCCAGCCTCCCTTCTTCCTGGCGCAGCTCTACTTCAGCCAGCGCCTGTCCAACCAGCTAGCGCACAAGTGCCACAGCACTTCCACGCATCAATGCCAGTGGAAATCTGCCTTGGGGGGGAGGCAGTCTCGTTTCTTATAGTGCTGGCCTCCCCAAACGAGGGATCCTGTCTGTCTTGGGTCCTTTCCCAGTCCCAGCTTCTGTGTATGTGTCCCAGACCCTTTTCCTTCAAGGGTTGCTGCTGCGGCGGCCTTCAGGCCTTGATTTCGGATTCCTAACCTGAATCTAGACTTCCTTTCTGACTTGAATCCGAACTGGGACTGAACTCTTTGACTTTCTTTTAGACAGACACATCTTTTGCACGAACAGACACCTTTACTGCACGAACAGACAGATTTGACTGCACGTACAGACACATCTCTGCATGAATAGACATGAGTTGCACATCCCCCCGAGGAACAGATGTAACCCAAATACTTAGATATTGCAACTGTTCGTCCAGGGGCACAACTGTGACCTTTGACACTGTCCTTTGCTTTAGTTAGGATGTGACCTTTGACTCGGAGAACATGGCTCTTGATTTGCTTTCACGAACTGGGCTCTGGGCGAGGAACCCCAATATGCTGTTTCTGCCGATCAGGGGCTGCATCTGGTAAAGGCCCTTTTAATGATGACCGTACGTTGTATTCGGGGAAGAAGGTAGTGTGAGGTTGACACAATGCTGAGAGAAAAACAATAGGGTAGTAGTAGTACATACAGCTTGTCCCCCATATGAGGAGAAGACAGCTGTATTTATATGAAGAATTTAAAAAGGAAAAAAAAAAGTTTGGCAATCAATTAAGGTTCTGTATGCTGGCAAAAGGTTCGGATGGAACACGTTCCCAACAAGATTGGAAAAAACAATAACCATGCAGCTTGCTGATGAGAGAATGAAAAAAAACATTTGCTTTAAATCTGTGAAAACATCTGGTGAGTCCGTGACGTGGTACAGAAGTCTGAAAAGGCATTCAGGCACCACTACAATCAGTTTGTCTTACCCTCACTGCCAGCCTTAGCAACTGCCCATAGCAGTCCTGCTCTGGACGAAGCATGAGTGCCCGCACAAATCTACACAGTGATGCACGAGACAGATTGTGAGCCTGCAAATGGACAGCGCAGAGCCGTCGGTACTGAATTCCTGTAATCCTTGAGACAAGATGCTCCATGAGCTCAACTGCACTTGAGAATGCCGATCGTGCATCAGCCGGCAGCTTTGACATATCTGGTCTCTTGACCAAAGCTGCTTCATATCGAACCATAGCAATTGCGACCTCCAACGCAGAGCTTACAAACCCATAGGATATCATTTTCCACGACATCACCTCAAATTCCTTCAGAAGGAAACACTTAATTGCTTGCAATCGAGCTAACCAGGTGCCAACAGGTACTATTGTCTGCGCCTTCTCCTCTGCCTCATGGATCGCACCAATCACTAGGACACCCAACTTATTCTCCAGTTTTGCTGCAGCAAGTGCAGCTTCTTTGCAGGGGTTAGGTCCTTCCCATGGCAGCAGTTCCAGCAGAAGCCATCTCGCCATCTTCAGCCGTACATAATCATCTCTGTCCCAATGACACAGACAAGCCGCCAGGACATGCTTGTAGATTGTTCGTGCCAATCCTGCTGCAATCCCATAATGCCGAAATTCCGTCAATGTTGTCACTACCCCACATAAGTAGTCCAGGGGGATTTTGAGGCGGGGATAATGCTCTATATCATCTGTGAACACAATGTCCAAAAGAGACAAAGAGCACCATCTGTCACAAGAAAAGAACCAAGAGGAGAGCTCCCAGATAAGACAGAGGAGGCTAGCATACGTGCTGCGCAATCAGACTCTTTATTTTAATCCATGAGGAGCTCGGGCTTCCTTAGTGTGAATTCACTACAAATATCATAAAACAACTGACCACACATTCAAAACGCCCGAGGGTGATCTTAGGGGTGCATCATTGGACAAGAGGATAGTCAATACTTCAGCAGGAAATCTGAGGGACGACATAATTGCGGACGACAGGCACCAAAAAAACAAAGGAAGGAAGATGAGCGGTTGAGAAGGGACTGTGGAGAACACACACACACACACACACACACACACACACACACACACACACACACACACACACACACACA